ATCACATTTTTTATATTTGTTGGCCCGACATTTGACCACTATCTCGCCTGGTGGTAGGCGATGATGCGGTCTACGATGGAGCACGTCGTCCCATAAGCAACCTATTCACTCGGGCCTTGAAGACACCCAGGTTATAACCCTTCAGGAAATACAGACTGGCAAAGAATTCCACTCCTTAGCAGTACACGTTGCGCGGCGTTTTTAAGCGTGTAGGTTAAATCGGTTTACTATTTCTATGTATATGTCCTGCCTCCTGCCTTGTCATTTTCTTAAGTTACAAAGGGCTAAGCATAATAAATTTTGTAATTACCTAAGTAATTTGTGATTTTATAGCTAACTAAATACTATTTGAACAGAAAGTTTATTAATAAAAGTTAATATTATACACAACATTTTGTTTTATTTCATAACTTCTATAACAAAGGCGAACTGTATTTAACGAAGTTCTTTAGCAAGACTATGGTCACTAAGAATTGTTTTGAGAGCCTTCTTTAGCCAGACCAATTTGACCCTAACCATTAATTACAAAATATATTAGGTCATCAGCTATGAAATTACTGTTTTGCAATACTGGCCATTTAAAATCAAAATAATTTTAAGAATACAAATTTCAAATTAATTTTATTTTAAAAACATGGATTTTTGAGGAGTAGTAATTTATTTAGTGATAGTGTTACATTTTCATCGCATTTCAATATTTTTCGTCATTATGGGTACGTTAAAAATTTGAGTAATTATGAAATATGAGTACCGTCGTGGCAGCAACGCGGCACAAGCAGCTCACAACATTAACGAACTTTACGGAGCTAACAGTACAAACCGACGCACCACCTCTTATTGGTTTGATCGCTTCCATTCTGGAATTTTCGACCTGAAAAATGAAAGTCCCGGTCATCGGAAGACTTTATCAATTCCTATAGGCATGCAAAGGGATGTGAACACCTGGGGGAGTGCCAAAATTTGGTCATTTCTTGGTAATCTATTGAAAATATTGAAAATGGAAATTGTATGTAAGTCCCAAGTGTCAGAGCCGTATTATTCCTAAAGCAAACTAAGTAAGGTTCAGTTACATGGCGCCAGGTTACAGAGAGGCGCCGCGGGACACGCGTATTCTTTTTTTTTATGGCGTAAGCCGGTAAACGAGCCTATGGATCACCTGATGGCAAGCAATCGGCGTCGCCCATGGAAACCTGGAACCCCAGAGGCGTTTTGGAGATTAGGAGTTTGAGGATCGTTGGAGATTGGGAAAGGGGAGGGTAATTGGGCCTCCGGTAACCTCACTCACACGACGAAACACAACGCAAGCGTTGCTTCACGGCGGTTTTTTATGAGGCCGTGGTATCACTCCGGTCGAGCCGGCCCATTCGTGCCGAAGCATGGCTCTCCCACACTTAATTATATATTCAACTAAGGTTGCCAGTTTTTTTTTAGAAGATAAAGAGTATATCTGATTTTAAAGGAGGTAAATAAATAGTACGGACTTACTAGAAACAGTATCATTTCATTTGTGCTTTTATAAAGGTTATTTTTGTACTTTTTGCAGCACATAACAAATTATGATGCTCTCAAGCTGTAAATCTTTGGACCACTAAACGAGCCGCTCATTACGGCGATTATATAGTTTTTAAGATTTTAAAATTATTCTTACTAACTTCAACGACTTTTTCTTACTAGTGTATCACTTGTCCGAAATAAACATTATTTTATTTATTAACATTAAATAGTAGACTTTTTATTCCGATCATTAGTTTTTGCATATTATAGGTAACTATTGTCAGACTCTCATAGAGTTTCTTAATTTTTGTTTCGTTACCTGTTAGTCTTCCAAAGTTGTTAAATAAATAAATAACAGACTGGCAATAGTTAAGTAGACAATGTGTAAAAAAGAGTATTTTAACGTAGGTACTTACCTACTCTATTAGTGTTATAGATTATAAAGTACGCCTACATGATATAGAGGACAATACTACTACTACTTTCTTAGAGTGCGGTTGGCAACCCTGGTTCAACTGGCCATAGGGTGGCGACGGCGCCAAAAACATTAAGGGCGGCTAAATGAGGCGCTTGCGTAGGTCGCTCTCTAAGTTTATCCACGTTTACTGAGTGTTCTTTCTTTTACAGAAAGAACTTGCACGGTTCTCACACATAATCTATTATACATATTGTCTGGGTTTTAAAAGAGTTTGTTTCGGCATTTCTTCTCAGAGTAGTCAGTTAAGAAATGTCGACCTCATCGTTCGCTTGATAAAATTGACGTGTAAAAGTGCTGCCTTGTAGCCTATTTGCAGAAATAAATTCACTTGTTTCACTTGTTTCCTTGAAAATTATAAATGGTACATCAAGATAATTATTATGTTTGATAATTTAACAACTTGACAAATCCCTATTTTCTTATTTTCATTGCCCTAACAATGAAAAGGGTAAAGTCAACAATTTTAGGGAAAGGCATTAAAACAAAAATGGATAATTAAAATATAATTATATTTATTTACTACAATATATCACATTAAGTACCACTGGGCGCCAAGTGGCGAGTTTGTACAATTACAGGGAATATTGACATATTTTCAAACGAAAATATACGAAACTGTGTCGAAAATGTGTACATTACCAACAGTTGAAAGACATACCTTAAGTTTAACAGAATAGGGGTTATTTTTGAATAAAAAACTGTTTTAGAAGGAAATCGAACCAGCGATTTCAGTCCGCTTTAATTGTTGTACACATTCCAACACAATTCCATACATTTTACGACATAAAATATAAATTACAAGATTATAATTACACATTATTCGAATAATAATTTCACATAACAATACGAATTAAACATTAAAATGAACAAAATAAAATATAATTACATTTTCCACATGAATCGACTACCTAACTACATTCGTTTTTACATTTTCTCATTTCCAGGGCCAGTCTTGAATAATGCATCGAATTGTAGATTTGCTTACAGATAAATTGGAACTGAGGAATAACTTTGAATATTTGACAATTCTTCAATACTGGAAACTGTCAAATGTCAACTTTATTCTACAGTTGGGAATGAACTGATGATTGAACAATCGGCTCTAAGACCGTTTACCACTCCGAAAGGAAAACAACGAGCATTTAAAGCTTAGTTCGAATTTGTATTACGATTAAAGTACGTGCACGCGATCGACGTTCTGATTGGCCGGTTCCAATGAACCGACCAACCATAGTGCTGTACGCGCTCGACACTATTACGTCACGAATGCGAGAGTTATTCGTACTACGGCCTCAGGTCTTGTCGACAGTGTATCTGTAGTGAGCAAATCTACAGATTGAGAAGGTGATAAAGCTCATAATTCTCAATTTTCTACCACGAACTAGTGTTGTTCTTATAAGTAGTTTTATCGATATATTCTATACCGATACTTTCTAGTGTTGGGCTAATATTGTCGACATTATTTGTTCTAGTTTTTATCCTATGGCATTTTTATTCGGACGTATATTTTCTATAATAATTACATTAAATTAAAAATATAAAGCTTAGCACAGAGTCTTGAGTTCGATACCCATTTCGGTAATTATGGAATACTTTATAAGACGAAACTTTTAATGACAAAGTTATCTATTAAAATGGTATTATAGACATAGCTGGTGAATGTATGAAGCGCCTCTGCTTACCTCTTTAAGATCAAATAAGGCATTAAGTTAGACAAGTATAAAATTGACAATATTTAATTGACAAAAACAATACAGGCACAATTAGGAAGAATTATTAGCCAAGTCATTTAGAATGCAGGTAATTAAATAAAGATAGATTCAGTACAGAGACAGTAGCCATTGGTTGTCTAGAGCCGACTGAGTTACAAAAGACATGGCTTCGTTACAAAGCGTACAATATAGTATAACAATAGTTACTGTCTCTGTGCTGAATCTATCTTTATTATATTACTTACATACTATATAATATTATGGACAAGATAATTCAGTTCTAAACAGCATCGACACCACGGTAAGTCGAAAGTTCCGAGTCCCAGATCATGTAGTTATTGTAAAATTAATAGTTGTTTTACATCTATAAGGCATTATTTTAAAATTGACGCTAAATTATTCTAATCACATTTTTTTATTACAAGTATGAATATCTTAGGAATCATAGCTCTATTAAGGGAAGGTCCATAGTTCGTAATAGCCTACCCCCCTGGGATACAGTATACATATGTGAGGACCATGTCAGACTTAAGATATTTGTTTTCTCTTGGTTTTGTTTTTTATTTTAGTACGTTCTGTTATTTGTATGTTGCGTCAGGTATGTCTTTACATTATTCTCACATGTGTGTACAATATTGGAATAGGTATCAGAGCAGTGTAAAACAGACTTTTTTTGAAAGAGTAACGAATGGAGTTTCTTGCTCGTTCTTCTCCACTCGAATCGACATTTTGAAACGAGCGCCTAGCTTCACTGACGGACAGACTGACAGACTATTATTTATTTCATATTTGTTGATTCGTTTCAAAAGTACCAAATTATGGTTTAATTGAAATAAATGTTTTTAAGTTTGATTTTGACAGGCGTGAGGTTATATATGTATGTATGCGCAAAGTTGAAAGCGCAAAGTTGCGCAAATTCGAATTGACATTATTTTGTAATAATAACAATGTTTGTGCTAATTATACCAATTCTCATTTTGGTGCACGTTTCTTTAGTAGCTCGACATTTTGTATTTGATGGTTCTAATGTCGACACAACAAACTACATTTCCTTTCTCATCACGAACTTTAAGGTTTCTTATTGAAGGAAATATAAATTCCCATACTTCACAATATCGTGGAAAATTTAAGTACAACAATAAACATATATTTTAAGTACTTACACATTGTTTCAATTAGATAAAAATATTCGCAGGAATTCCCGCGTTTCACATGCAAATAGGAATTTCCAGAATTCCAAAATTATAATAAAATAATTCGGTATAGAAGGTCCAGTTCCTCTTAATAACTTTATTAAGAGGAACTGGACCTTCTAAAATTATAATAAAATAATTCAATAATAGTACATTATTCAAATAAAAACATTCACAGCAATTCCTGCTTTTCCCTAACACACGGGAATATTGGGAATTGCTGTATTACAAATTCAATTACATAAAATTAAATATGAATTCAACATATTCGGGGATATTCAGTAATAAAGGACTATCGTTTGTTTGCGCACCAGATGGGGCTAAAGTAGCAAGATGTACTGTTTATCCAATAGGAAATTAGCGAGCGTCAAATTATTGGACAGTTTTAATTTGAAAGCTACAGTGATTGGACAGACTTCGAACTATGTTAGCGACATCTAGTGAGCAAGAAACCGATAGCCTTTATTATAATTAAATTATAATTATTAGTGATGTCTTAAACTTCACATATTCAATGCAAATTCACCAATCCTGACTGTATTAAATGCATGTCGTTTAAATAACAACTTGTATCAACTGTAACATTATGGCCCGGCGTACACGGGCGCGGGGGATTTTGAGTTTCATCAACTTGTAGGTGACACTTAACAGCACGGGTCTCATGCTAAGTAATTCTTAGTTAAGAGATGATTTAGGGGTTGTTTATGAGAACAACCAAATATACTTTTAACACAAGACAATACAAATAAAGCCGCGGCGCGCTAGTTGTTTTTTAAACTTTTAATAAATTCTCATTTTAATAGGAATTTTTAGGTTTTTTGTTTCATATTTTCGTGTAAAAAATTCCTGTAAATATATTGTGTAATATATCTGATAGGATATACCTACATTACGCTACCGTTGCGTTAAGGCACTAGGCAGGAATGTATCGAGACAGTACATTTTTGTGTAAATTCACGAATTCTTCTTCGATTCCAGCATTTTGTTGTAGCTCTGCAAAGAAAATAAAATATTACATTAGTTTAAAGAAATAGATTGCACGAGGTTTTTTTAAGTGGGGAAAATCATCGAATGACTGCTCCCGCCTGGGTGAGGCGGGAGGGAGTGTCAGACTCTTACTGACTAAGAACCACCCCGTTCCTTCTCCTGCACGTCGAGCCGGAGCCCGGTTACGCGTTAGGTTCTCCGCGACAGATTGCACGAGGTTGGGGTTCGATTCTCAGGTAAAATAAAGTACTGTTTTTAATTTGGTCTGCACGATTGGTGCGGTGGCTGGGTAACTGGCTGCCGTGCAACGTGTCGCGGGTTCGATTCCCGCACGGAACAACACTTTGTGTGATCCACAAATTGTCATTTCGGGTCTGGGTGTCATTGTGTACGTGAACTTGTATGTTTGTAAACGCACACACGACACAGGAGAAAATCCTAAAGTGGGGCAACGCTTTTTAAAAGAAGAGAAAGAAGGAAAAGAATTTAAAAAATACTTTTTGAAGCAATAAATAAAAACTAATTTGGTACAGTGTTACAGTGGTACATTGTGGTTGAACTTTTAACACTGAGAACGCGGGTGACGCCGCTGGCAGAAGCTAGTTCAATTATAATAAAGTATACATCGTGACATCTATTCCGTTTTCGTCCCGAAGTAAAATGGTTCTGTCTCGGTAATACAATAGTTTTACAAACAAATACAATGTTTAAAACAAAACAATAACTGGTGAACCATTGCAACGCAAACTTCGAAGGCGCATACGAACTCATAGTACATTATCAAAACATCACGCCATGTCATTCTCGAAGAGTTATCTCTCGTCGGGTGACACGTGCGATGCGGATAGTGCGTACAAATTTACGTCTAGTGTTTCATGTGCGTATTTCCATGATTTTTTAAAACCACACATTTTTTGTTTTCCCTTTATACATCGAAAGTACTCCTTATGGCGAGTTGTTTTACGATACAGATGTGGCGGTGTATAAATATGAGTATCAATTGTGTACCTCTTCAGCCATCTTGTACAGTAGGGCGGCAGTCTCCTGCCCGGTCTGCTCCACCAGCGCCTTGAAGATACCGCCGCTCTCTGGCTCTGATACCTCCGACCTACAACATAAGGAATTAGATGATATAGTACTGTTTGTATTATAACTATTGTAAGACTGTGTGAGTGCTCCTGAATATGGGTCCTGAGTGTGGCTTGAAACTAGTCAAGTTCAAATACCGAGTGAACTGCTCAAACTGCTGGGCAAGGGTTTCGGGTTCGATTCCCGGGTCGGGCAAAGAATAACTGGATATAAAAAAAAAATCTCAGTAGGAGCACGGAGTCTGGAATGGTGCCCGGTATATGACAATAGGCTCACCCCCTATTACATGGAAAAGTGGGTGTTACATTGTACAGTGGTGGTGCTGTAATGTGCACCTCTGCCTACCCGTTCGGGGATAAAAGGCGTGATGTTATGTATGATAATATTAGTTACATACCGTCCAGAATAAGTCCGTATCCTGTCTCTAGCCAACACGAGTGTTTCGTTCTGGTCGGTACTCGGCGCTGTACTCGGCTCGAACGTGAAGTTCTCGGGGATTGCTAGCGGCGCCTGGCGGTCGAATAGGGAGGATTACTTTATGGTATTTAATAAGCAAATACATTGAAAGAGTAAAAACGATATGTCAGTCAACGTCAATATGATGGTCAAAGTCAAAACGGAATATCAATGTATAACATATTTAATGGTGAAGAATAATAATAATACAATGTACATTTTTTTATAATATTTTTGTATACCTATTGGACATAATAATATAATTTAGTATTGATTTGTAAATAAATTGACTTATTGTAAGGACCACTATTTGACTGCGTAATAATGAATATAGGTATGTACTGGACGTAATTTATTTTAGACTATCATAAAAGTAACTACCTAATTTAGAAATATTGTGACATCAAATTCAAATGTTTATCTCTTTAATGTAATTTAATAATGACTATTATTGTACAGATTGCTGATTTTAATGAAATTGAATATAATATTTATACCTATAAAATTTGTAAGCCACTATTGGCGAAACATGGACGCACAACATATTATTTAACATCTTGCATGTCTGATTACTCGAATTATGTATACGCATGTTTTACAAATAAACAATCTTTCTTTCTTTCTTTCTTTCAAATGTCAAAGTGAACTTGAAACGTCAAAGTCAAAATCAAACTCAAAACATTAATATTAATCAAAACACGATTGATCATCATTAATACTAAAATAATTAATATTTGACACAACTGACTTGACTCTTAGACAGTATCCTGTTCCTGGGCACTGTGGCGGTGTCATCCTTCCGTTGAGTACTGGCCTGCGTCAGTAACTCGAATGGGTGCCCCGACTCCACCACACGACCTCTGTAACAATATTTTTTTTTTATAGCATAAGCCGGTAAACGAGCGGACGGATCACCTGATGGTAAGCAATCGGCGCCGCCCATGGACACTCGAAACACCAAGGCTTTACAAGTGCGTTACCGGCCTTTTGGGAATTGGGAATTTGAGGATTCGGGGATTCGGGAGACGGGGACTAGAGAGGGGGGTAATTGGGCTTCCGGTAACCTCACTCACACGACGAAACAGTAGTGGTATACGTACTTGTCCATAACAATGACTCGGTCGTAGTCCATGACAGTGTTGAGTCTGTGCGCGATGGTGAGTACTGTGGACTGGGCGAACTTTGTGCGGATCGTGCGCTGAATGTGCTTGTCCGTGCTGGGGAACGAGATTGGGGATTAATTCGAGGGTAATTGAGATTCTGAAGGGGATATTCCGTAAACAGTGTCCTAAGTGGACAACAGGGTCACCCCCTACTTAAGTGTGTGAACTCATGAATATGAGCCCCTAGAATGGCTTGAAATTAGTCGAGTTGACATGAAACTAGAAGACATAATAATTAATTCAGTATATAAAAGTAGAGAGATTTAATTCAAAGGGTACTCACTCAGTATCAACATTGGCAGTTGCCTCATCCAGTACTAGAACCTTGCACCCTGCGAGGGCGGCGCGAGCGAGACAGATGAGTTGTCTCTGTCCCGCGGAGAGGTTCCCCCCTCCGTCCCCCACCTTAGTATTCAGGCCGGCTGGCATCTTGCTTACCATTTCGCGTAGTTCCACCTGTAAAGAACATTAGGGATAGTTTTTATAGGGGTAGAATACATTTACCAGCCCTACATTTCCCGCGGGTGTCGTGTACCCGATTAAGGAGAAGATTAAATTTGTTACATCACAGATGTGTTATGAAATGGTAATGGTAGAGTAATAAAACAAATAAGAAATACGTTCGTTTACCTCTATAAGAACAAAGCAGTACCAACCTGATCCAACGCCCTATATATGTCAGCGTCAGTATAGACCCCCTCCGGGTCGAGGTTGTCCCTGAGTGCGGCCGCGAACAGTGCAGGGCGCTGCGGCAGCGCACACAGGCGGGAGCGCCACGCGCGCAGCCCCGCGGCCTGCGCCGACACGCCGTCCACGCGGACCGAGCCCGACACGCGGGCTAGTCTGGGGACGGGAGATAGACAATTTATCCCATGTATCATGTATAAAAATAATATATTTTATAATAATAATAATACCACACTCTTTGCGTCATCTGAAAAAGAGCTTGCTGAGTTGTTCCGGAAGGTGGAATATGAGAGTGAATTGGTTGGATTCGCAATCGACAAAACCAAAACTAAAATCGTGATTATTGACAGATCTATCCGGTCAACTCCTCAGAGCTAATGAACTCTCAGATCCGGAATTTGTTAACGACTTTGTGTACCTTGGGTCTACGTTAACGAACCAGGATGGAAGTTAGCAGGAGATCCGAAGAAAAACACAAATGGCCAAAGCGGCAATGAGCAAAATGACACGTATATGGCAAAACAAAAACATCTCCAACATCACCAAAAAGAGATTAGTTCAGATATTGGTCTTCCCTATCTTCCTCTATGGTGCAGAGTCGTAGACTATTAGATCACTAGATCGCAAAAAGATAGATGCTCTCGAAATGTGGGGTTGGCGAAGAATGCTCCGGATACCATGGACTGCCAGACGAACTAATAGGTCAATCCTGGAACAGCTCACTATAAAGACTCGACTGTCGACCGTATGTTATCAGCAAATGCTTGGATATTTCGGTCACATTGCCCGCCGCCAGTCAGATAACCTCGAGAAATTAGTTGTAGTAAGGTGGAAGGAAAAAGACCACGTGGCCGATCACCTAGCCGATGGTGTGACCAAGTTACCAACTACACTGGACTCTCTGTTATGGAAGCCCTGAGAGAAGCCGAAAACAGGACAAGATAGAGGGAAACTACACAGAGAGCAATGAAAGCCTTTCAGGAGCACAACCTTCAGAAATGAAGCAAGCGATCGAGAAGATCATGTATAAAATATGTCCAGCAGTGGACGAAAACGGACTGACAATAATGATTTGTTATTTAAACAATAACATAACAATAATGCATAATTTTATTTTATACTAGCTGTTCTCCACGACTTCGTGCGCATATAATAATGGCTCTGGTAGAATTCAGAATGCGATGTAACAAATATCATCAGAATTAATTCTGTGCTTAAATCTATGTGGGATAAACATTGTACCTATTTAAAAGAACGCAGATTATCTAAGTGTTAAAACGGAACGCAACGGATGAAAGAAAGAGAGAAGTATGTGTGCGAGTGAGAGGGTAGGGAAATGGCGATAGAGAGTTTTACGACGAACAGCCACGGTGTAACGCCAATTTTTTATAACGTGTTTGCAAATAAAAGTTTCAATTCTTAGTGCTCGTTTATTTTGCCATACAATCCCACATCTATTTTCGTAATCAATTCCACAGAGGTTTTATCGGTATATCATCCGTTCCCGCGAGGTTTCAATAATAAAAACTATTCTATGTCCTTTTCTGGGTTGCCAACCATTGTGTACCAAATTCCAATCGAATAGATACAGCGGTTGAAAACTCTCAGGCGTCCTTTTCCAGGTCTCAAACTATCGTTGTATCGAAGTCCAATCAAGTTTAATGGTTTCAACGATAGCTAGAGACCTTTTTTAAGGGGGAAAATGATCGAATGACTTCTCCAACCTGAGTGAGGCGAGAAGGAATGTCAGACTCGTATTGACAAAAAACCACCCCGTTCCTACTCCTGCACTTCGAGCCAAAGTCCCGGTAACCTTTTACGTTCTTCGCGGCTCCGTATCGGCATCAGCCCTATTGGGCCCCATCCGTGGTGACCTGATCCGGCTCATTGATGCGCGCGCCCGGAGTGTCTTTCGCGACGGCTGGCCTGTGAGGAGGTAGCGCTTCGCTGCCTCACACGCCCCACCTCATCCTTAGCTAGCACGACTGCTTCGCAAAAGGAAGAAACGGCATCTCAATCCTCCTCGCTCCGCATCATGGTCCAAACTAGGGCCAGTAGCGAGAGGTCGCCGTCGTCGATCATATCCCTGAGGGCACGGCGGGCACGCACGGCCCACGCACCACTAACGTGTGTTCCACCGTGTCCTCAGGGCGGTCCTCGCAGTGATGACACCCGGGCGTTTCCTCCCACCCTATCAGACACAGGTACCTCCCGAAGCTCCCATGTTTAGTAAGCAGTGGAAACAAGCGGTAGGTGAGGACGCCATAGCGTCTCTCGAGCCACTCGTCAAAGAGGACTTATCGCTGCAATGCAAACAGCGAGTCTGGCCCTCGGTTGCGACAGTCGTTGCTGGCTGCCATTCCGTCACAAATCTGGCGCGGCATTGAAGTTTCGCCCCAGCGACGTGCCTCCGCACGCGAGCAAAATACGCGCGCCAAAATACCTTCGCCTCCAGATCTCATGGCGGTAATCCGGCAAGGAGATTCGGCGCCTCCCCGGTGATCGTGCGGTATCCGCGGATTCGGATTGCCATGACCCAGATTTGGCGCTCACACAGGGGTGCCGTAGAGGGCCATGGATCATATGACCCCGGTGTATAACCTCCGGGGTTTGGCCCCCGTGGTTGAGTAGGACGCATTGAAGCGCCGTCCCCGTTCTTTCTAACTTACGAGCCAAACGTCAGAAGTGCTCCACGAAGTTCCACCCATTATTGAGGACGAGTCCCAGGTCCCCACTTCATCGTCGTCTCGTCGCCGATGTTAACCCCTCCCGCCGTTATTTGAGACTCACTCGGAGGATTTCAAGAGTGGGAGAGCCATAATTCGGCACGAATGGGCCGGCTCGACAGGAGTGGTACCACGGCCTCTGCCACCGTGTATCCCTCGTACAGCTCCGCCTCTCTCGCCTCCGCGTTCGGAGGGCGGATACGGCGCCTGTGCTGCGGTGCCTAGTGTACTGGCGTCACGTAGTAGTGGACGCCTTGCGTAGAGCAGCCAGCTCTTGTGTGTCAGTGGTCGTCGTCTCCACCTCGTCCATGACGCGCCAGTCAACGACACGCGGCGACAGACCAGGACTGGCAAAGGAAAATATGTCCACCACCGACTTCCCCTTGTGAGGTTGCACGCACGTAGGGGCAGAACCCGGATACAAGACGACTAGGCCTGTCCGATGAGGACAACACCATCTAAGTACCCCAGCCAACCTCACCTGCTTGTGGTACATCCTGCCGATTAACGGACGAGGCTCTGGCGACCGGCACATGGCGGTGTAACCATGCTATATAGGCGTAGACAAATTAAATAGCCTAGTGGCAGGGAGCAGCGTCCCTAGTGCGAGAAACTACGGCCTGCGATCACCAACCCGCCTGCCCAGCGTGGTGATTATGGGCATTACCTTTAATGGCGCACCCAATAAAAAAACGGTCGCTCCGCTATTCCTGGCCAAGTCGGCGGTCATGGTAACGGCGGGATAAGGGGTACTAAGAATCCCCGGGCTACGAAAGCTAGGCTGGGCGGCATATAGAACAAATTTAAGGTGGCGCAGCAAGTTATGGAGAGGTATCTCTGAAGGATAGGATCCGTAACGAGGTGACCCGACAGAGAACTAAAGTTACCGATGTAGCCCAAAGCATTAGGAAGTTGAAATGGCAGTGGGTAGGCAAACGTAGTGTAGGGCGCCCTCCAGCTACATGGAGTGTGGTAGTGGTAGTGGTGGTAGTGGAGCGATATACGTAAAGTGGCTGGTAGTGGTTGGATGCATAGAGCTAAAGACCGAGCTCATGTGCATGCCATTGGAGAGGCTTATGTCCAGCAGTGGACGAAAACAGGCTGATGATGATGATGAGGCCTGCCCGAGCACGTGGAGGGAACGGAACCCGACGACGACGACGACCAACTCCCTCAGGAAGTTGTGGAACTCGGCGAGAGTTCGGTCCGGAGAGAAGGACACGCCCACCACAGCGAGCTCTCCGAACCGTGCTAGAAGTTAAACGCAGTTCCCGTTTCTGATTTTCGGGATGCAGACTACCATACATTTTCCCAGGGCTTAAAACATCGTTGAAAATAAGTTCAATGGTTTAAAAGGTAGTCGATTTAAAGGTCAGTTTGGTTTAAATTATTTTCGTTGCTTCCGTCCGTGCGACGCTGCAGGGGTGTCAACTGAAAACCAGTGTTGGGTACTTACTGTGCCCAGCTCAAACTGAGTTGGCGAGCCCTTTCGTCGTGGACATGCTGCCACCCATTTTTGTTTTTCAATGTTTTTTTTTGTGTTTATATTCGGTGGTACATGCCTTGTTGCGAATAAATTTTTTTCTTTTTTTTTATTTCCTCTTTCTTTCTTAGACCCGGAATTTTAACGCTTAGTTCCTGTCCTGTGGGATTTCCGAGATAGAACAATCATAATTCATATCAAAACCTATGTTGCCTTGCTTGTAATGTGTTGTCATCTGTAATATTGTATGCTGTATGGTGTACATTAAATAATCTATATTAATAATTTCGTCAAGGGGTACGGTAGACTCGATCTAAACATTACTTGCATAACAAAACATAAAAAATATCGATTTCGAGTCGACAACATATATCCGCAAAATTCGGATTACGGTTATTATTTTGTTTTATTAATTCATTTTAATGACACTGACAAACAAACCGCAGTCGCCATCTTGAGTAGACAATAAACGTTCCGTTTCATACTAGCTCTCAAATACGCCTCACCAATCAACACGTTGTCGCGTCAAAAAAGTATAAATTAACAAGAAATATGAATAATATCACGCGTACGAAGTCGCGGGTAACAGCTAGTGATTAAATAAACAAGTCCTCTCCAGTGCCAGTGTTTTAAAGTATAGTTGAACAAATTTCAATCAAATAGATATAATCATTTAAAAGATAGAGTCCCGGTATTTAGCACATACTTTCCGTTATTCTGGGATTTCTACTACTAATGGTACTAATTCTGGTACTAATAATGTGGACTGATTTGTACCGGTGTGATGCTACTAATTTATTCAAATCTAAAGGAGACTCGCAAAATTTCATAGTAAATTGACTCAACGGACTAAAATTAAATACTATGGGTTTCCAAGGACAAATTGTATTCAGACCCGTGTAATTAGTTTTTGACATGTAAAAATATGATTTCTAGTTAACTAAAAATATATAATGCATGAATTTCTCTCTTTTAACTGCTGTGGACCTCTTTGCATACCGTAATGTTAACAATTATACTAAAATAAATAAATTGACAATGATCAATTGGCTCTGTAAACTCACTTGTACAAAATGCCAGATGACGTAGAAATATTTCGTGACGAAAATGTATTCTTTTCTCGTTATAACTTATATTTTTTTAACACATTGACTTTAACAAAAATGCTACATTTTTATTGTTTAATGTAAAAAATTGATTTGATCCATGTTGTGCTTTTTTGTCTTCATTTATTTTGTTACATTATTGTGATTGTTTATTAAATATTTTAAATTGCTGATGACTAATTGGGATGATGACAGACAGGGTATGAAAATTAAAAATCTAATTAGTCCGTAAGATAGGTAATGAAAAAATATTAGACACGTATTTTCTTATTTTGTCGTATAATAAAGCAATACTTAGATAAAACGAATCAAAGTTTAGAAGTGGGGGCTAAAACGTCATTTCTACGTATAAAATGTACATAGAAGTGACGTCACGCGACATTTCAAATCAATATATCGTCGAAAATATTTGTTTCCGTAGGAAATAGAAAAATACACGTCTAATCTTTTTAAATAATCTACCAGACGGACATTAAAATACTCTGTCTTGCACATGCTGAACTGGTCTTATTTCACGGCAGATTTCACTTGTTGTTTAGCGTAAAACATTTTTCTTACTTCCATTTTATACAGATTTACAAAGACAACCACACTAAGGACAAACCAGCAAATCCTTTTTTTTTTATTTATTGTTTTTTTTTTTGAGGGGGGAAAATCATCCAATGACTTCTCCCGCCCGGGTGAGGCGGGAGGGAGTGTCAGACTCTTACTGACTAAAAACCACCCCGTTCCTACTCCTGCACTTCGAGCCGGAGCCCCGGCAACCCGTTAAGTCTTCCGCGGCTCCGTATCGGCATCAGCCCTGTTAGGCCCCATCTGTGGTGGTCTGGTGGCTCCTTGAAAACCAGCAAATCCTCCACTGTTCTTCCATACAACACCATAAAAAAATAACTATTATTCTCACCTAAACAGCGCACTCAGTAGAGAGCTCTTCCCTGCCCCAGTCCGTCCCACTACAGCGACCTTCTCAGCCGCGTTGACTGTAAAGTTCACTCCTCTGATAGCGTACGCAGCCTCTCCGCCTGCACCCGGGGGCTTCTCATACTCCAAGGACACGTCCTCGAATATTATTTCACCTGGGAATTGCAAATTTGATTGATTGAAATTATGATATTAATAAGAGGTAGCAGCATATTTAAACAGTCTTAATAAAAAAAAACAACAGCGTGGATGCATTTACGAATAACAAACATTTCCTACTACTACTACTTAATTAATTACTAAAGTGTACTAACATAGATATAAGTTATTTCTACTAATAACCTATGGATGCTTCTGGTCCGAAATAAAGAGTATTTTATTATTATTTATTTATAAATAAGGTCGAATTGAGGAACTTTTTTGAAGAGGATGAAAATTAAAAGAATTAGAATGAGGGTTGCCATAAGGAAAATACCATTTAGTTTGCAATTAGGACCGTACCTTTCGTCGGCCACTTGTCGAAGTCAAGTTCTGGGTGCTCCTTCTTCAGTGCGTCCTTGTCGACATCTACTGGGTTTTCAGGAGGCAGATTTGTATATTCTAGTATCCTTTCAACCTGAAAACATGAATGAATAGCTAACGCCCAAATACTGAAAGACTACTCAATTTTTTTAAGGGATAAGTCGGTAAACGAGCGGACGGATCACCTGATGGTAAGTATTCGGCGTCGCCCATGGACACCTGGAACACCAGAGGCGTTACAAGTGCGTTACCAGCCTTTTGGGGATTAGGAATTTGAGGATCTCCTGAACCTCAAACAATCCTCAAACTTTCCCTAATCAAAAATAAATCATTTCGACAGTTCAATACAATAAAATATTAAAAAATAATCACACTTTCATTAATTGATTTTATGACCGACTTAACGTTAGTATTTTTCCAGCAAATTTTTAAGAAATATGTACGCTGTTTGTCGCTAAAAAAACGTGACGTCACAATACACAATCTCGTACAAAATGCATAGAAAACTGTCGTTTTTGACAGGTCAAAAAAAAAAGTATTGGATTTGACTAGTTGGCAAAATCCGTATTACTTTTAACGTAACGCCTTTGAATAGTTGGAGAATATAAACTTCTTTTTTTATGGCATAAGCCGGTAAACGAGCCGACGGATCACCTGATGGTAAGCAATCGGCGTCGCCGATGGATACCTGGAACACCAGAGGCGTTACAAGTGCGTCACCGGCTTTTTGGGGATTAGGAGTTTGAGGATCGTTGGGGATTCAGGGATTGGGGAGATTGGGGAAGAGGAGGGTAATTGGGCCTCCGGTAACCTCACTCACACGACGAAACACAACGCAAGCGTTGCTTCACGTCGGTTTTCTGTGAGGCCGTGGTATCACTCCGGTCGAGCCGGCCCATTCGTGCCGAAGCATGGCTCTCCCACACTTAAAAT